TCTGTTGTGTTCCTGTCAGGGTAATGCCCCCACTTCTAATTAAACAAATTTGGGAATTGCTGTTCATTATGGACATTATGGAAGAGAGACTTAAGGGCAGTCTGACAGTTTTCTCTTAAAGAGTTGTGCCTCCACCTGAAGAATATATCTTGATCCTCCTGTTTTACTGAATATTTATATCATTTGAATAAGAATTGATGAGTAGATTAACCAGAGGTCTTGAGAATACCATATTGTGAATAGTGTAGGTATCCTCCACTTTTAAAAGAAGATCCTGTACTTTAGAACACATATAACTTGCTCAGACATTTTGCCGCAGTGTAGAATTTGGTAATAGGGTAGTTTCACCTGAATTTTACAATGAAGCTTAGGAAAATATTTTATTGAGTGGTCTAGACTTGGAGTATTGTAGCAGGCAAATCAGCAGTGTTTCTCTTTGTGTTGGTAATTTAAGATGGGAGGTATTTAGGTAGGAAGATGGAATTTACTGAGGGAGCAGAGCCAGGCACTTGCCTAAGGCCCAGGAAAACGTGTACTTTCTGTTTCTCAGGATGTGTGACGTGAACTAAAACTAAATGAATTCAACTTAATATTTATTTTTAATTTGATATCTAATTTGAAGTTATTTTTTATAACATCGTGTCATTTGGTATTTTTCCTTACTTAGGAATTTTCAAACAAATATTAGGAGTTACTTGTGCCTGAGTAAAATATAAATACAGTTTGTTATGTTTCATATTAGTTTTTAAACTTTATTTTTCAGATTCTCAAACAGCCATTCAAATTCAGCCTACTTGCTAAGGATCAGCAGAGGTTAACGGATTGGCAGGCGTTTAGATATTTTCCAGATTGGCGGGTAGCACTTGTAACTGTGGCCATTTTTCTACAACAAAAATTCCGGCACTGTATCTTGTATCAGTTTAAAAGCCAGACTTCCTCTCTGTGCCTTCAGCATTCCAGAGCTGACTTAAGTCAGTACAGAGCAGAGAATGTATATTATACAGGGGAAGTATGTAATCAATCATTCAGCATGCTTATTGCAAGAAGAGGATTTTTATGTGCAATGTTCGGCCATGTTTTCAATGTGATTTATAAATCCATTTTAGTTGAGTAGAACTGCTCTTTGCATTGTTCAGCCAGCTGGCCCCCCCCCACCCACACACCCACACACACACACACACACACCCATTTTCAAACTATAAGGAGGTGAAATTCAAGTTACTGTGTCTCAAAAACAGTAAGTTGGCAAGCAGTACTTCTATAGCAGTAAAATAATACTTGCTTTTCCTCTGTCTACTTGCTTTTCCTCTGTCTTCTAATGAAAAATGCAGAGCGGAAGAACAACAGAAGTTAGAAACACCTATTTTTGAAATTTCTTGGTGTAGAGAAATTTTCTAATCTGCTTTGAAGTTCTCATCAGGTTTGTGCCTTTTGAAATCTGTGCCCCAGTGTGGTAAATCTGTTGCTGTTCCTCAGAAAAGCCGGAAGAACTGATTTCACCCCAACTTGTTTAGTCTTCCTCTGATCATGAGGCAGATTCTTTAATGTGAATATTCTTGAAAGCTGTCTTATTTGAGAAGAGGAGCTAGAATAATTGATTTGAACATTTAGGCATAAACAGATTACGATTGCATATTAGAAACATTAATAATAGAGAAGAAAGATAAATATTATGTCATGTTGCTTGATAAACAGTTGACTTTTAAATATGCTGGTTTGTTACATGTTAACTTTTCTTCTATGAGGATTTTGTTTTGTGGCTGTTAACATAAAATAATTGCGATAAAGATTTTACATAATGTTTATGGATGATACTTTTAAAAATGTCGTCTGAACAGTTGTGCTTTAAAAAGTTTAAGCATCACACATTCAGAATTTAACCGTGTTATTTGATAGAAATTTTGCCTTTTAGTTTCTGAAAACCTAATTTCCTGATTTGTTGGTGAATTGCTTTAGTACGTTTTCAGTCTTGCTGATTATCAGTAGGCATTAACACATAATCTTGTTTGTCTGAAAAGGTAGCAGATTTTTTCTTAACAAAAGTAAAAGTTAAATACCTAGGAAAATCCTGTATTGATGCTATTATGTGATAATAACATTTTTTAACTGAAGATCACGCCATCTTGTCTTTGAAGAGTTCAACTTGATGGTTTTGCTTTTCCTGTATCATGATTTTGAGGATGGCACAGGGCGGGCAGCATTTCGTTCTGTTGTACACAGGGTTGCTATGAGTCAGAACTGACTCTACAGCACCTAACAGCAACAACATACATTGAATGACACATACTGAGACTAGAAATAATAATCCTAGATGAATTTAAAGTTTACCTAAAGAAGTCTTTAAAAGCACTTTGTATGCTATGAAAGTTTATTATTTAAGTAATGTTTTTAGCTTCTTCCTGTATTAGAGTTGTGGTTCTTATATTCTGTGGGTCAGCTTAACACTTCATTGTGTTAAGGTGACATAATATGTTAAAATGGCATTTTGTTTGTATGCTATGCGTATTATTTATGCCATTATTTTAGAAGATCTAGAATGTAGCCAATATAAAAGCTATTATGCAAAGCTAAATTGTAGATTTTGGAAGGATAGGAATAAAGTAAGGGTGTGAGGTATTAAGGCCTGGTAATGGAAGTTTGGGGGATTGGTAGTAATCATAGATTGCGGCTATGAATCGGAATCGACTCAACAGCAATGGGTTTCTTTTTTTAATAGGTTGCTGAGTGGTTCATATTTAAATTGTTTCTATTAAACTTGTAGGTAGCCAAAGTGAAGTTAATTTATTTAACATTTTCTGAAATAAACTTAATAAAATGACGTTTTAGTTTTGAAATGTTATTTTGAAGATTTGAAGAAGTAGATGTTAATAAAATAGCTGAAGTAAATATTAATAAAAATGGTTATTTTTACAAATTTATGATTTTGTTTATTTAGAACTTTGGACGTCTGTTATCTTTGATTTGTCTTACATTCTTGGATGTAAGACCATTGATAAGGTATTTTTACATAAGAAATATCATTAGAAAATCCATAAAAGTAGGAAAAATTAGCAAAGGTTAATTGTAATATTGGTTTATTTCATTGTTTCACAAAGTGGGAAATCCTGGTTTGGAGCACAGTTTACGAAAATGTTGGTTTAAGTTCTTTGAACAGACGACTTTCCCATTACTAAAAATTCAAAAACTTACTTATTTTTAGGTCACTTCAAACTTGCTCATCTCATTTAAACTGTGAAAAAGAAGGTTTGGGTTACAATTACATTAACATAACAAGGATATAACTTTTTTTTGGTATATATGTTTTATACTAACTAAATAAAATTTCTTTCCTTTAAAATATTTTTCTGGTATTATGGACAATATAATGTTAGGGCTAATTAGGGAATCTTTCCACATTAATGATCATATTGACTGAACTTGTCCTTTCTCTAAGATACTGGCTTCAGATTTGTTTTAGAGCAGAGATTTATAACAGTGTTGGATGGATGATTCAGCAGTGATGGGGCACCAGTTACTTATTCAGTGGCATACTAGCCAGTTACCATTATCATCCTTACTCTTTCTACTTCTTTGGGTCATTCTTTCTCCCTCTTCTTTACTGGTTCTTGATTATTCTGTCTCTTGAATGTTGATTTTCCACAAAATTTAATCCTCAACCTTGTTCTGTACTGTTCTGTGGAAACAGTCACCTCTTACATGCTGACAGTTTTTGAGTTGTTCATTCAGCCAACGGTTATTGAACATTTACTGTGTTGGGAATGCCAGTGATAAAGTGTAGGAGAAATAAGAAACCAGCATTTACAGAATACATCTATTGCAGTGTAAGGGATTCCTAAGAATTTTGTGGGAGTGGAGGAGGGGAAGTTGGTTGTGTAAAATGCTTCCAAGATTAGCTAAAGTTGAGTATGTAGGGGGATTAGTTGTTTCCTAAGCAGCATGGACAGAAAAAGTTGCAAGAAAAGTTTCAAGGCATTTTAAGCAGTAACACGAAAGAACATCATGATACCCTTTGGGGTACTGCAGATACTTGGTGTGGTGGGAGAAAAGGAAATGCATCTGGGCATAGCAGGACATGAATCTGGAAAAGTGGTAGTAGGGGCCATGCCAAGATGTTTAGATTAATTCTTTTTTATTTTTAAATATTTTATTGTGTTTACACATCAAATTAGGTTCTCATTGAACAATTTCTACACAAATTATTCAGTGATATTGATTACATATTTTACAGTGTGTCATTCTTATTCATTCCGTCTGGTTGTACCATTTCCTTTATTATAGTTTCCCTGCCCCCCCTTACCTTCTCATCTTTGCTTTAGAGTAATTTTTGACGATTTGGTCTCATACAGGTGATTTTTTTGAAAACAAGCTCAATAATCCCAAGTGATATTCTTTATTTTATGAGCCAGTCTGTTATTTAGCTAAGAGTTGACCTCAAGGGATAATTACGGTTTAAGGTTTAAAGAATATCTCAGGGCAGTAGTCTCAGAGAGTCCTCTAGTCTCAACAAGTCCAGTAAGTCTGGACTTTTTAAGAATTTGAATTCTGTTCCACATTTTTCTCTTGTTCTAGCAGGGTCCATCTTGTGGCCCTGATCAGAACGGTCAGTAGTGTTAGCCAGGAACCATCTAGTTCTTCTGGTCTCAGGGTAGATGAGGCCATTGAGGCCATGATTCGTGTAGACTGTTAGTCCTATAGATTACTTTCTTCTCTGAGTCTTTGGTTTCCTTCTTTTTCTTTTATCCCACTCAAGTAGAGACCAATAGTTGTATATTAGATGGCTCCTCACAAGGTTTTAAGACCCCTGACACTATTCACTACATTGGGATGCAGAACATACACTTTATGAACTGTATTATGCCAGGTAACTGAGTTGTCCCATAGTTGTCCTAAGCCTTCAAACCAGAAAACCAATCTTGCAAGGTGTTTGGTTATGTCTAAGACGTATCCATAACTGTGTCCCCTATGTAGTTTATTATATATATGAACATGCATGCATACACATACCTGTATGTACATATGTTTATAGATATATCTGTGCACACATATGTACCCACATATTCATGCACATATATGCCTATATACGTATCTGTGTAACTACACACATATTTTTTGGTTGTTGTTGGTAGATTAATTCCTAAAGCAGTTTATGATATAGATAACTTGGATTTGGGAGAAGAGTGAAAGGTCAAGGATCAGGACTTGAATCAGGAAGACCAGTTAGCAGGTTTTTGCAAGAATAAATTGATAAGGGCCTAGGTCAGAACAGTGGCATTGGAGATACAAGGATGCATTTGGATTATATCAAGGAGATAATCTGTCGAACCTGTTGACTAGATTTAGAAGGATAGGAAGAAATTGAGGAAGTTATCCTGGCTTGAGTGAGGTCATTTACTAACATGAACAGATATTGCTTTCCTGTCTCTCTCGTAGTTATGACTTATTCTTGCCTTTGCTTCTCCTCTTTGTCTGCTACTTAAACCTACCTGTTCTTTACATCTTGCTTGTTTTTTTCTCATTCTATGACTCTCATGACTTTTATTTCCTGTGAACAAATTTCCTGTATGCTGTATCTTAAATCTACATTTTTAGTCCTAACTTAACTGAGCTCCAGAACCATCTATTCAGCTGCACTCTAGGCATGAGTATCCTATAGCAGTGATTGTAAAAGTTGATTTGAGGAACCCCTGGGAGGCTCCTTGAAAACTTTTCAGGGGGTCTACAAGGCCAAAACTATTTTCATAACAATAGTAAGACTTGATCTGCTGTTTCCACTATATATATGAGTATATAGTAGAGTTTTCCAGAGGCTACCTAACGTGGGTTATCACAACAGATTGGACGCAGAAGCAGATGTAAAAATCCTACTGCTTTCTGATAAGCCAGAGATTAAAGATATTTGCAAAGATGTGAAACAATGCCATGCTTCTGAGTAAATTTTTTTTGTGTTTTGGAAATTACAGTTTTTTAAATATATATATAATTTATGTTAACATGTAACAGTTTATTATTTTTAAATGAATTAATAAAGTTTTTTCAGTTTAAATTTCTAGTATGGTAAATATTTATAGATATAAACAAAAGCTGTTTGGGGTTCTCAGTAATTTTTTAAGCGTGTAAAAGGGGTCTTGAAACCAAAAAATTTTGAGAATTGCTATCTTATAGTAACATCAACCTTAACATAGCCCAAACTCAACTCCTTATCTTTCACATACTTTTCAAATTTGATTTTTGTCTTCTATTTCCTGTCTTAGTAAATGGTACCTAAATGGGTCTACCCAGAAGTCTTTAGGTCATCCTTTATTCTTCTTCCTTTTCTTACTCAGTTGATAATAGTAATCACTAACATTTATTGAATACTACCCATGTGTCAGGTATTGTTCTTATTTCGTTACATCCATTTTCTTCTTAAAGCCTCACAACAATGGTGTAGGTATTAATACTTATCCCTATTTTACAGATAAGGAAATGAGGCACAGAGTAGTTAAGTACTGTGCCCATGGTCATACAGCTCTAGTAAGTTGCAGAACAAAGATTGGAATCTAGTCTTTGAACCTGCACTTTTTTGTTCTGGAACAGTTTAAGATTGATATGTTTCTTAAGGTTGGTAATATTCCCTGTAAAGTCATGTGGGCCTAGTTCTTTTTAGAGGGGTAAATCTTTGAGCACCTTTTCAGTTTCTTCTATTGTTATTTTACTATAGGACACTCTACCATGAGCTTATTTTGGTAAATTATATTTTATAGACCAGGGGCCAGAAAACTACAGCCGGCAGGCCAAATCTGTCCCACTCTGTTTTCATATGTAAAGTTTTATTAGAACACAACCATACACATTCTTTTATGTGTTGTCTCTGGCTACTTTTGTGCTACAATGGCAGAACTGAGTAGTTGCGACAGACTGTACAGCCCACAAAGCTTAAGATGTTTACTATCTGGTCCTTACAGAAAAAATTTACTGACCCTTTTATAGAACGCTGTTAACTTTAGCTGGGTTTTCTGTTTTATTGGTATAGATTGTACATGGGTATTTTTTTTGTTTTTTTGTCTTTCTGAAATCGTCTCTAAATCTGAAGCTATATCTTCATTTTTTATTCCTGATTGTTTGGGACTACGAAAATCTTGTCTGATTTACGGGTAACATTGTGTTGGTGGTCGATCTTTTCGCGTGCTCTGCAGCAATTTAAATAGCGTGAAACTTAGAGATATCTGTTTCTGAAAAGTATGGTAGTTTGAAAAAGAATATAAAACAGTATGGTAATATCAGTCAGTGCAACCATCTGGTCCTGCTGGGTGCTCTGATAAATTTCTCTGTTTCTTCTGTGCCAAGTAATTAATTAATTAATCTATTTAGATTTCCTGCCTCTTCTGGGGTCAATGTCAAGTCATTTCTTCCTTCAGCATTTTAAATTATTTATAGAGATGAGCCTCAAGGAATATCTTACTATTAGAAAATCAACTCTTATTTTTCCATGTTTATTTTTTTGAAATTAGGCTAGCTAATAGTTTTTTTATTTTATAGAACCATGCCTTAGATTTATTGGTTCACTTTTAAAGTCATTGTTTCTACTTTTATGTTTAGTAATTCCTTCCTTCTGCTTCTTTTAGTTTTTTAACTTCCTGAGTTGAATGCTTTATATCCATTCTTATTTGTTGTAAATAATTAAGGCTATGAATTTTTCTTTGAATACTGTACCTTAAAATTTATTGTATGTAGTGTTGTCACTATTATTGATAACTGCAGTTTTAGTATTTATTTCCTCTTCAACTCAAGATTCATTTGAGGTTTTATTTGCTACTTTGTTGTTTAATTATATTGCGTTGTAATCCAGAAATATCATCTGTATTCTACTTTTTGTAGTTTATTGATGTTTTCTTTAGTTCTCTATGTATGTGTGTATGTATTTAACTTTGATGACTGTCTTATGGGTATTTGTCAAAAAGGTGTTACACTGTTTTCAGAGCATATGGTTTTGCTTTTTTCTCAGTTTTTCTCTTATTGTCTCAATTTGGTTTACATATTTTATTGCTGTGAGATTTAGTATATAAAGGTTCTTCGCTGGTCATATCTTTCTAGTTGGTTGTTTTATCAATATGAAATATCTTTTATCCTTTTTAATGCTTTTCTCCTTACAATTTTTTTGGCTAATATTTAATATTGCTTTTATTTTATTTTTGTTGGCATTTCTTGGTGGTTTATCTTTATACTTTTTTTTTTTTAAATCTTTCTTGTGTTGCTTTGTTTCAAGAGTGATTTTTGCAAAGTGTATTGCTGAAGTTTATTTTTTCTTCTCTTAACTCAGTTTAAGAGCCTTTGTCTTTTAACAAGTGAGTTTAACTCATTCACAATTATTGTGATTACACATGTTTTGGGGTTTATTCTTGTTATCCTATTTTGTATTTTATACTAACCACATCTTTGAAGTAGTTATTTTTATTTTATTTCCTGTGCCTGTTGAATGGATCAAGTTTTCTTATGTTCATTTTTGCCCTGTCAGTGGTTTGGGTATTTACTGAAGTAATTGCCTTAAATTTTATCTGTGGGAACACAATAGTCAAAATTGTTAAGTATTTATATCTTATCTGGCAACCCCACTTGTAGTCCCTGCCCTGTACCCTCTATTAGCTTCTCCTTTAGTTCTTACTACCACATCCCATGTTTATATCTGAGATTTTAATTCAGATTATTTAGTTTAGTTTTATTATCATTACTTGGATATTTTTAATGTTTTTACCGGTCTTAGTGAAGTTTTCTGGCCCCAGAAATGAATCTCAGCCTTGTTTTCTACATGGCATTTTACTGATGAGAGTGCAGAGGTTCTTTGCGTTCAAGGTAGGGGTAGAGTTGCTGAGTGACAGATACAGATACTGCTCCTAGACTCCTAGTCACTTTTTATTGAGTGTTAAGTTTCTGTCACATGTCTTCATGTAGTTCATTCACAGTGTTTGCATACAGGTTATCTTCTAATTTCTTGAATATATTAAAGAAGATTTTCCTGTTGCTTTCTCACATAAATAACACCTTGTTTAGGTATAAAAGTGTTGTTACAATCTTTTCTTTTAAGACTGTTCAGTTTTTTTAGGAATAGTGTGGCAAACAAGCCTGCCTTATAGCAGTAGGGATCTGTAACACCTTAAGCTTACCTTCACTTGGCCAAATACCATTGTGAGTCCAGTACTAAGCATGAAGAAGCTGAGTTAGAGTTTCTGTGTTCCTGTAATTTCATAGTTACGTATACTTTATCTTTCTTTGGTTTCAGGGTTATTTTAGAATATTTTAGTGCTTATTGTCTTTATGAAATAAGTATTTTTGGTAGGTAAGATTTGCTTAGTACTAAGTGAGGAAACAAAGGAGTAAACATTATTGCTACTTTCTGGGAGTGTTAGTTTTTCTGGGAGACACAATTTTATACACAAAGTCATTATACCTAGAAGTCACTTGGCTCAAATTGTTAATAGGCTTGTCAGGGAGCTTCAGGGAAAATAGATAAAATTCCAAGCAACAGATGGAATGTTTGTAGTGTTTCGATGTAATTCTTTCTGAACTATAATTTGCTTGTATTACTTTAGAAAAATTGAAGAATCATGTTGAAAAAATAAGAGGCTAAGATCATATATTAAGAAGTATTGATATTTGTGATATAAACTAAATCCATTAATTGTTCAGAGAAGGAAGACAGTAGTGTAGCTAGATTCTTATCTGAGGCTCTAGAGCTCAGGGGATAGGTAGGAGAAATTGGGGTCACTATTAGAAACCACACAGAAGACCAGGGCTTTATCACAGCATCATACACATTATAGGCATTTGATAAATTTTTTTAAATTTAGGCCATAGTAATAGCTTCTGTTGACTCAGTGATTACAATATGCTGGGCACTGGACTAAGACTGTCCCTACTTTATAGACAAGAAGAGACACAGAGGTAACCAGCTAGGGAGTGGTGGGGCTGTTTTAATTCCAGGAGTGGAGCTCTTAACCCTTGAGAAGAGTTTTCTGTGAGTGTCCTCATAGATAACATGACGATGTTTCACTTACCTGACGGTGGTGTCAAGACGTATCAAAATCTCACAGAAACATTAAACTGGAACGGTAGTATAAGGTGGTATTGTGCCAGTCATTGAATAATAGCCACTGGGAGGCCTCGTGTTTGGTGCTTTATAAACATTAATGTCCTTAACCTTAGGGTAGCTCTACAAAGTATCAGTATTATCCCCGTTTTACAGAGGAGACAGCAGGCTCAGTCAGGTTTATACAACTTGCCCAAAGTCACAAACCTGGTAAAGACATAGCTGGGACTGAAACCTGGGTCCATCTGGCACCAATATCTCATATCATGCTGCCTTTCTGTAGTTTTAGAAATTGGGTATATCTTCACTGCTGTAAGATAATTTACCAGATTTTAAAAAATGTGCTGGATCCATTTGCTTATTTCATCTCTTTTAGGAGTTCAGAAAGTTTGCTATTTGTAATTTCTCATTGTCCATACAGTGGACAAGTGGCTGTTTCTCAGAGTTGCTTAAGACAGAGTATCCAAATTATTTTTCCAATATTGATTAGTCTTGTTATAGATTTCATTCTGTTATCTCTGTATTACTTCCATATTCTGAGTTTGTGTTATTTGATTTAGACTTTACATTTTATCAGCAAAAGAAACCTTGTAAACTTTGCCTTTTGTAAGGAAACTGGCAGATTGTTTACTACCCTTGTTCTTGTGTTGTCTTCCAAAGATGAAAAATAGGGGTCAGACACCTTAAATAGGGTTAGGAAGTTACCAGGGAATTGAGTATTCTTTTAGGACTACCAAAACTTGATTTACCACCTTTGTTCTGTTAAGTCATCATTAGTTCAATAGTTGGGTAATCAGTGCTGTGCTTGTTTTCTGATCAGAGAGTAATGTAGAAGGAGACTGTCGGCATGAGCTGTCATCTTGGCCAAGGAAGGCCAATGTTCTCCACACCCTTACTGGATAGTTAGAAGTAAGATTTGGTAGTTCTCTGTCCTAAGAAAACTTGAGCCCGTGAATGAGAATAGCCCTACACATTTAAACCATCTGTTCCTTCAGGATTGTTTTTCTTAGTGCCTTTGCCTTTAGATGGCTTACTATGGAGGTACACTTTACTGGCTAATCTTTTCCACCCCTTTTCTTTTGTTGGGATTAGTGCCAGAACAGATAAAGCCCAGTGTAAGCCAGCCTCAGCCTGCCAACTCTAATAACGGCACTTCCACAACAACCAGCACTAATAATAATGCCAAGCGAGCCACAGCCAACAATCAGCAGCAGCAACAGCAGCAGCAGCAGCAGCAGCAACAGCAACAGCAACAGCAGCAGCAGCAACAGCAGCAGCAACAGCAGCAACAGCAGCAGCAGCAGCAGCAGCAGCAGCAGCAGCAGCAGCAGCAGCAGCAGCAGCAGCAGCAGCAGGCCTTGCCTCGATATCCTCGTGAAGTACCACCACGATTTCGCCACCAGGAACATAAACAACTTCTAAAGAGGGGTCAGCATTTTCCTGTCATAGCAGCAAACCTGGGATCTGCTATTAAAGTGTTAAACAGCCAGTCAGAAAGCAGTGCTTTAACAAATCAACAGCCACAAAATAATGGAGAGGTGCAGAACAGCAAAAACCAGTCAGGTGAGAGAAGGTATTTCTTATGGGACTCAGACTTTATAACCATTAGCAGTGTAGCAGTTTTATGGCTTTTTGGTGATGTACTTACCAGTATCTGAGCTGCAACATGCGGATTCTATACAGGGAGTCATGAATGGGGAATCTAAAAATGTTTTCTCTAAGTTACCTGCCCATCCTGCTTTTAAAAATTACTGTTAATTATTCTCCCTCTAGGTTTTTCCCATTTTAATAAGCAGCTTGTAGCTAAAATTGACTATATGGCTGTAGCTAAAATTGAGCACTTTTTTCCTCCAAGTTCTGTGCTAAGCAATTACATATACTATTGCGTTTAATCTTCAACGTCCCTGTTAGCCAATAAGTTGTTCTTATCTCTATTTCTCGGTAGAAGAAACTGAGGCACCAAGACATTAAATAACTTGCCTGAGATTTGTCAGCTACCACGTATCATAAAAAGACTGCCCCTTATGAAAATTATATTTAAATAGAGCAAATGCATCTTCTTACTTGCCTCAGAATGGCTTTTCTCAGCTCAGTAATGGTTATGAGGCAGAAAATAAGTCTAGTATGTGATCAGAGTTTCCTCAGAGCCCTGTTTGTTTCAACATGTCTGATAGGTTCTGATAGTTGGTTGGTCTGTACATCCATCCATTTCTCCAACTATCTTTAAGCATTTACCCCAAGCCAGATAGAGAATTAGGTGCTGGAGTTGAGGAGAATCAAGGTTTCTATACATGTAAAGCACTTATTGAGGCAGTGTAGTATAGTGATGAAGAACGAAGTTTCTAGAGTTAAATGGACCTGGTTTTTAAATTCCAGCTCCACCATATACCAGCAGTGTGACCTTGGGCAGGTTACTTAATTGCTCCACGTGCCTGAGTCTCATCCAAGTAGTCTTCCCTAACTATCCCAGGTATAGTTATTCACTTTCTACCTCTATGCTCTCTCCTATATACTGAGAACTTCTCTGTACATCATAATATATTATGATATTTCACAGCTAATAAGTAGCAGAGCCTGGATTCACATCAAGATCTCTCTGACTCCAAAGCTATGCTCGTAACCACCATGCTGTGCTTTGGCAACATACTGGATATGATAGGTAAGGAGGAAGAGGACACAAATGTGAGTTTTCTAGCATAGGTAATTAGAGTAGCACATTATTATTGGAAAGGATGCATACTTGAGTTATCATTCTGAGTTAAGAGTTATTCTCTACTCCCCCAGCCACTTACTACCTGTGTGAGTTTGGCCAAATTACTTAATTCATCTAGTCCTCTTTACTAACCTGTAAAATGTGAATAGTAGTGCATACCTTATAAGGTTGCTTTGATAATTAAAGTATATGATATGTTAAAGCAATTAGTGTAGACCCTAGTATTTAGTTTAGGCAGTGAATAAATGATCTTCCCCTTAACTTTGACAGAAGAGCCTACACTTTTCAGAAAGAATAGTTTGGTTTAGACATCTTACATGTAATCTTGTACAAATGCCAAGTAGTAGGCAGTTAGTAATTTGATTTGAAGTTCACCAGGGAAGTCAGGTTGACAGCAGATGCACAGTCATACATCAACATAATTTAAAAATGTAGTTAAATCCTTAGGAGAGATTGGTTATACAACAAATACTTGAGTACCTACTATGAGCTAAGCAGTGGTGGTATGATAACAAAATGAGCAGGGAAATGGTATAGTATATTTAGGAAATGATGTGTTGGATATGCTTTTTCAGTTTGGGAAATGAAAGAACAAAGCTGTTTTTGAAATGGAAACAACAGGGTTGTAAGAATCTTGTTTCTCAAAAATGGATATGGGTAAAAAAAACAAAAGTGTTAAAGGTGTACATTCAGATTACAAGATGTGGGCAGAGGAAGAAGCCTTCAGAAAAGTCTCAGAAGGAAAAATATGCTGCCTGATTCGAAAAGGACATTAGATTAGTGTGGACATTAAGATGGCGATCAGAAGGGTCTAACAATCTAATTGAGGTCTGGAATTAAATCTCAGAACAACTAGAGCATGCAGATGATGAAGGGAAAACATTATGAAGAATCAGAATTTGTGCTTTTGACTTCTTAGAAACTTTGTGAATCCCCACTTAGCAGCATATGTCACATATTGACATTAAAATATCTTTATAGGTGCTGCTAGGAATGGTAACAAACTTTAGCCACAAAATAGACGATTGGGCATCAGTGAAATCAGGGAAGGCTTCTTAGAGGTTTTAGGTCTGTCCTGGCTCCTGTTGTTAGTTGCTTTCAAGTCAGTTCTGACTCATGGTGACCTCATGTGTGCAGAGTAGAACTGTGTTTCGTAGGCTCTTCAAGGCTGTGACCTTTTGGAAGCAGATTGCCAGGCCCATCTTCTGAGGAACCTCTGGGTGGTTTTGAACTGCCAAGCTTTTGGCTGGTAGTTGAGCATTTAACCATTTGTGCCACTCGAGGAACTCTGTCCTGGCTCCTGAAGGGTTAGTAATGATGATGATGATATAGTAGCTAACCCTTATGGAATGCTTACTGTGACCCACACGCTGTATTAACTCAGTTAATTCTCGTTTTATAAATTAGATAATATCATCTTCATTTTAAAGATTGGAGATTTGAGGATTTAGCCTAGTGACTGAGGAGGAGCAGTGTCCTGGATGGTACAAACAGCATGAGCAACAGCCCAGAAACACAAACTTTGATGTGAACTACATGCAGTTCAAAATTGCAAGAATGTAGTCTTAACAGTTTTTGTTTTTTTTTCTATTTATATTTGCATTTGCCTTTTTTGTTTCCTGAATAGAGTTAATGGAGGAAGTAGATTTAAATTAATGAATGTGATAAATGGAAATTTACTTAGTTTTCATGGTAAAAATGAGAAGTGCTGAATATGGCTCCCTGCCCTCCTGTAATGCAGTTCTCACTTATTCAGTGCAGTCAAAGACAGGGATGGTACTTCAGTGGAATTAGGTATTTTACAAATTAGGAGTCACAAACTAAATGTTTCTGGAACTAGCAGGTAAGTGAAGTAAAAGATGAAAGGGAGTCATGGGAACTTTGGTAAATGTATGGATTTTGTACCCTGCCTAAATACCTTTACATTCCCATTTTTATTTTTTTAGAACCCTGTGCTGGTCAAACCAGAGAACTCTGTAGGCTGAGCCCTGGGCTGCCAGTTTGGGCCTGTGCTTCCAGTGCTTACTGATGGTTTTAATTCATACTTTGAGATCTCTCTTCTGCAGTTGACTTGTTAGAGCCCTAAGGAATCAGGCTCTGCTACTGTCCAAATAACTTTCGAATTTGGGAGCCCACCGGCCCCATAGTGAGGGCTTTTGACAGACTAATACGCTTAACAGGACTGGCAGCAATATTGTTTTTATGGGCCAAATGTTTCATTCCCACTTTTTATCATGCCACTGACATGGTATATTCAGAAAAGTTACAAGAATAGAACAGGGAACACCCACACACCCTCCTCCCAGATCCAACAGTTAACAATTGACTTCATAAACACATATCTCTCTCTCTCGTATATGCGTGCATATGTCCACGTGTGCACACACACATTTATTATTGTTGAACCATTTGAAAATTAGTTTGCAAATATCATAACACTTCACCTTTAATACTTTCACAGGTAATTTCCTAGGAATAAGGACAGTCTCTTATACAACTACCATACCATTATCACCCCTAACCAAAAGAACATTAACAATTCAGCAGTATCTTCTAATATGTCATGTTCACACTTGAACTTGTTGTCCCAAGAATGTCTTCCTGTTTATTTACAATATAATACCATTTATATAAAATATAAAGCATGCAAAACAATATTATATATTGCTTAGGGGTATATTAAAATATAACAATATAAAGATTTGCATGGGTGGTTACCACAGCAGGAGGAGAAGGAAGGAGATGTAATCAGAGAAGAGGTACACAGGAGTTTGCTATATTAGTAATGTATTTATTAAGTAAGGGGTACTTGAGTATTTTTATATTACTCTTTATAACCTTTCCTGAGTTTGAAATATTTCATCTTTCTCTTTTAAAAAGAAGCTCAAGGACATTTGAGTTATAATAATGAATGACCAAGATTGGGACTATTTTAACAAAAAAATATTAACGTTTAAGTTCTGGAGATGTTAAAAGATTAAAATACTGTCTGCCCACTTGTGTTCTTGACTCTGTCTTTTCAATGTAGTACATTCCTGCTGTCCCATAAGTTCTACTACTTGCTTTCAGCTTGTACCTTCCCCTTGGACTGTAAACATACTCAAGTCTTTACTGTCCTTTAAAAAAAGTTCTTTATTCTCTTGAGGCTATTACAAAAGTTGTTTCCTCCCCTTTTGCCAAGAATTCTTGAGGGAGTACTTGTCAATCTGTATTTGTAATCTCGAATACATTACTTCAGTCTTCTATAATCGGATTCCTGCACACTTGACTGAAAATAGCTCTTACTAAGATCTTCTGAATGTCAAACCCAGATTTTTCTGTTTCTATCTTAACAGATATCTACACTTTTTACTTTTGATCACTTCCTTCTTTATAAAGCTCTTTCATTCCTTGGCTTCTGTGTTACCATATGTCTCTTGTTTTCCTCATACCTCTGTACTTCTCTACTACATTCTGCATAGTTTTTCTTTGACCATTTCTTGATTTTTTTGTTCCGCAGGATTTCATCCACTACCTAATAACTGTTTTTACCATTCTCCCTGGTAGATTTTATTCCCTCCCATGGCTTTGTTTCTCATCTTCCCTAGTTGTAGGCTGGTGTTGGGCCCCTCAAACTCAGCATGTCCGAAATTGAACTCATCCCCATACCAGTTCCTCTTTCTGAATTCCTTTGCTCAAAAGGTCGGCACTCCTATTCATCTGGAACCTTGAAATCATGCTTGACCCTCCCCTCTTCTTCATATCTTACAGGCCACTGGCTTACCATGCCTTACTGATTTTGACTCAGTATTTCTCAGCTTTTCTCTCTCCTTCACACTGCTGCCACCACTGCCTGGTTGAGGTACTTACC